TTATAACTTACAAAACTTATTTATATAATTGATTACAAAATTTAGGATATTACAATATGACGTTGGAAAGTGTTATCAATCAGTTAGGATCCAAGCAGACCATTGACTATAAGATGGGTGAGGATAATATTTTGAGACTTAGAGGAAGGATTTGTATTCCTGTTGACCAGGAATTGAAGAGAGTAATACTAGATGAAGGTCATCGGAGTCGTCTGAGTCTACACCCTGGTATGACTAAAATGTATCAAGATCTAAAGAAGATTTATTGGTGGTCTGGTATGAGGAGAGATATTGCAGAGTATGTGGCTGCTTATTTGACTTGTCAGAAAGCAAAGGTGGAACACCAAAGGCCGGGAGGAATGCTACAGCAAATGGAAATACCTGAGTGGAAGTGGGATAACATTACCATGGATTTTGTTACCCATTTACCACGGACAATTCGGGGGCACAATTTGATTTGATCTGGCTGATAGTGGACAGATTGACGAAGAGTGCACATTTCCTCCATGTAAATCTGAAGATATCTATGGCTAAACTAGCACAACTATGTATTCGCGAGATTGTTCGATTACATGGGGTACCATCTAGCATTATCTCAGATAGGGATCCTAGATTTACTTCAAGATTCTGGCAAACTTTACAAGAGGCATTAGATACCCGACTTAGGTTGAGTTCAGCCTATCACCCCCAGACAGATGGACAGTCAGAGAGGACCATCCAGTCACTAGAAGACTTATTGAGGTCTTGTGTGTTGGATAATCTAGGAAATTGGGATGATATCCTTCCATTAATAGAGTTCACGTATAATAACAGTTATCATGCCAGTATCGGAATGGCACCATATGAGGCTCTTTATGGGAGAAGGTGTAAAACACCTTTATGTTGGTATCAGGATGAGGAGAAAGTGTTGATCGGACCTGAGCTACTCCAGCAGACTACAGAGAAGGTCCGGGAGGTACAAGAGAAGCTAAGAGCCGCTATGAGTAAACAAAAATCATATGCGGACCAGAGGAGGAGACCTTTGGAATTTGAGGGGGGAGACCATGTATTTTTTAGAATCAGACCTACTACTGGAGTAGGAAGGACAATTAAATCTAAGAAGTTGATTCCCAAGTTTATTGTCCCATATCAGATTTTGAAGAAGGTAGGTCCAGTGGCATATCAGTTAGCGTTGCCACCTCATTTGGAAAATCTGCACAATGTATTTCATGTATCTCAGTTGAGGAAATATGTGCATGACCCCAGTCATGTCCTAGAGTCAGACGATGTGCAGATTAGAGACGATCTCTCCGTGGATGTGAGACCAGTGAGGATAGAGGATTCTCAGCTGAAGCGACTTAGAGGTAGAACCATCTCAATGGTGAAGGTAGTATGGGATCATAAATCCGGAGACTTCACTTGGGAGATGGAGGATCAGATGCGAGAGTCCTATCCATATCTATTTCCAAGTAAGTTCATTTTCGATGACGAAAATTTTTGTGGAGGGAAGATTGTGACGTATGCTTTTTACTGTGCAAGAAAATTTCGTAACGAAGTTTTCCTCATGCACAGTAAAATTTTTTCTTTTATATGTTCGAAGGGGGGATGAATGGTTTCTGCGGGAAATTATTCCTCCCATATCACATGTTCCTCATTCTTCTTCTATTGTCTAAATTTCAAGCAACGAGACTTTACTCGTGCAGGATCTGGTGAAACGGGAGAGAGCTTGAATTAAGTGGGAAAGCTTCGGTAGAAATACCATACCAAGTAAGGGGAAGTTTAATTCATTCAATATATGTAATTGAATTGTTGGGTACTCTGTGAATAAGGAATAGGAGTAGAGATATGAATTATTTAAATGTCTGATTTTGAAGAATTTCTGATTTTGATGAACTGTTCACCATTTGAAAGTTTTTGAAATTCTTGAAATTAAGGATGAATTATATAATAAAATTGTTGTTTTTAACTTAAATTGAACATGTTTATGGTTTAATTTTGATTTGGAACTAATTTGGGTGATTGAAACTCAGAAATTTGAGACCTGGATTTTGAAAATGGCGTACTGGAGGTGATTACTATTCATATTTTGTAAAGTTTTAAATATTGATAAAATTCTTGAAAATAAGGATGAATTATATGGTAAAATTGTTGTTTTCAACTTAAATTAGATATAATTCATGTTTAATTTCGATTTGGGACTAGTTTGGTTGTCTAAAATTGAGTAATTTGAAATCTGCCAAAATCTGCAAATTTTGACACCGTTACTGGGCGAAGGAAGAAGAAAGGGATATTGTGGAAATTTTTTTAAGAGATCAAGGGTAAAATAGTCATTTTACATTCTAAAGACATAAATGTAATTTTTGAAATTGTTCAAGGGTAAAATAGTCATTTTTTGGGACATGGAATGAATTTTTGAAAATGTCTAAGGGCAAAATAGTCATTTTCGTTCAAGAGCAAAATAGTCATTTTACATCCTAGGGACATAAATGAAATTTTTGAAATTGTTCAAGGGTAAAATAGTCATTTTTGGGACATGGAAGGAATTTTTGAAAATGTCTAAGGGCAAAATAGTCATTTTCGGGACATGGAAGGAATTTTCAAAAATGACCAAGGGTAAAATAGTCATTTAGGGACATACATGGAATTTTAAGAAAAGATTAAGGGCAAAATAGTAATTTAATGATTTCGAAAATAGTTTCGGAAATAGTTTCGGAAATGATTTCGGAAATGATTTTAGGAAAATATATATATAAAGAGAGAGAGAGAATGAAAGTAGTGTGTTGTGACGTATGTGGGTCAGACTAAGCCTGAGGGATGATGCCCAGAATCAGTCCCGTTATATATTGGCTAGACTGAGCCAGAGGGTTGGTGCCAGAATCAGTCAAATCCTATTTTTATTTACCCGAATGAGCCGTGAGGACAGGTGGTCCAGAATCCGGCAAATGTGAATAATTTTTGTTATGTTTGAATGGTACCCGGGGTGGTATAGAGTACATTAGTGTAATAACTATGTCGGAGGATTCTGAATGAGGTCCCGGACTTCACCGATTGGTCGGGTCGGGTAGACTACGAGATCGGGTGGTGAGAAGTCGATGGGAGGATGACTGGTGGCGCGCTCGGAGGGTACTCCAGTATGAGTAATGAAGGGTGCCGAGTAATCCTACTGCGTGTGGAGGGTGGTCAAAATGGTACTGCGAGTACCGATCACATTGTGGCCACAGATGATAGCCTCTGAGTTCGGGCATAGTTAGGGTATACTTCTGGAAGGTGTCTTAGTGTGTTGATAATTTCGTAATTGATCATAATATATAATTATTACTTTTATATCTGTTTTATTATATGGAATGATTTAATACTTACCCCTATTTTTCCATGTGGATGAGACTGCGATGATCACTTTTATGTGGGAGCGAGATCGGGAGTTGAGAGATGGAGATGTGACTATTGGACAACGAGGGATAGTTCGATGGGATAGCTTCGAGGAGCTACTTTTACATGTATAATATATAAATAAATTATGTTACTATATTTTGAGGTTCGTTAGTGAATCGAATTTCAATCTATGTTACAATTACAGTAATATAATATAAAATAGATGTCGTTATTTACTTGTTTACTACTTTGCGAAGACACCATTATAGTAGCGATTTCTAGGGTCGTTACATATTGATTCTTGTTCCCTCTAATGCTTAGTTGGGTATAAAAATATAAATAAAATAAACCTCAAATTAAGGAAAATTAACAAACTGAAAGGATTTTAAAAGTGATTATATCTAATTCATTTTGTTAGTTTACTTTGGTTGGATCATTGTACATTTTTAATTAAATATTTTTCATTTTCTTGAAAAAAAAATGTTTTGATCCAGGTAAAGTATAGATACTCAATTATACGTTTCCATATGATATAATTATTTTTCAGATATTTAGCATGTGCAAATTTTATAATAATAATAATTATTCATTAAGTTTTGAATGTTAAAAAAAATAATTAATTATATTGTACGGTATAAAAAAATAACAATATTTAGAGTGTAAAATTTTATTTTATTATAAAGAAAATGAGTTACATGATTTAAACACTAGTGTTTCCAGTGGGTGATCCACTTGTGTGATGTTGTTTACTGTGTGAAAGGGAACGTTAGAAGCAACAAATAAATATAATAAATCTGGTTCATGTTTCAACTTTGATTTAGGTGAAAATGATTATTTTTATTTTCTATTACCCCTCGTGTCTGGTTTATTCATGTGGGCTCAAGTGAGGAAAATATGCAAGAAAATAATTGAGAAATATAATAATGAAAAATAATTGACACATAATGCATGAATACTGTCAATGAAGGAAGAATTTAAAACAGGAAAATGAAGTGCAGGAAATGTGGAGTCACAAAAATGTATTGTTACCTCTTGAATGTTTGGGAGAATATCAAAGATATCAAACTTGTGAAGTGAAGGGTATACTCCTTCAATTAATGCAGTATAAGTTGGTGGATATTTTTGGATGGTTTTCATGATCCTCAATTATTAACAACCCCATGTATCCAAAAATAGATTTGAAAATGAAAACTTTTCAATCATCTTCATTATTTTTAAAGTTCTAATTTTGCAATTTTTTTATGTCAGAAGACATGCTAAAAATTATTGATATTATTGGATGGACCAATAATGGTAGGTGGTGATAAAATGTTTCCATTAATTGTATTCATTTCTACTTGCAAGCGTTGTGTATGTCATTAGTGAGATAGTACCAAAATTGAAACGGTTTTAATAATTGTGTAATTGGCAAAGCGTGATTAAATGGGGGTTTGGATTTGAGAGGTAGTTGGATAACGTGGAAACGACGTGTCAGGAATAAAATCCATCCGATGTGGCACTCGTGGTGGCTTGCTTTCTATATATAGCGCCCTTCATTTCGCCTTGGTAGGTGCGCTTCCTCTCTTTTTTTTGTCTTCTGCGTCTTCGTTTTCTCTCTTCCTCTTTCTCTGGATTCGAATTTTCAACTCTTTGATTCGTTGCTTCACGAAATGAAAGAAAGCTCAGGAAACCCTCTGCACCTCAAGTCTGTGAACCACATCTCCCTCATCTGCACCTCCGTCGTACAATCTATCAACTTCTATCAGAACCTTCTCGGCTTCTTCCCCATCAGGAGGCCAGGATCATTTGATTTTGATGGGGCATGGTAATTCGATTAACTAACATTTGCGTATCAACTTTTCTCAATTCAACAAAAATGTCTTAAGAACGTTTCCTTACTTTGCTTCTTCTATGTCATCATTGTACAGGCTATTTGGATATGGAATTGGAATTCACTTGCTGCAAGCAGACAACCCTAACAACATTCCAAGAAAGACAGAAATTAATCCCAAAGATAATCATATATCATTCCAGGCAAGATTTTAGTGTCCGGTTGTGGTGTTTTTTTTTTCTAATTCAGCTTCACATCAATTGTTGCATGCAGTTTCTCTAGCTGTTGCCAATATTTCAAACAACAAACTTTACTTCTAAAGGGTTTGCAGAAGAAAAAACTGAGCCACCCTCGGCTGGGGCAAAATGACAGAACTTGTTCCAATCTTTTTAAACCTAGAAAAAGCAAAAAAAAAAAAAAAGAGACGAAATCATTATGTTTTCTCGTGCGAAATAGTTTGCAATACTTTCAAGTTCTGAGCTCTCTCTTACCCTGTCCTTGTCCTGGCTGTGCCGAAAGGACACAAAAAGACATTGTGATAACATGTATAGGTGCTTGTTAATTGTTAATGTGTGTCGTGGTGAAGTGATGTCAATTAAGTGATTCAATCAAGGAAATTAACTTGGTTTGTTTGTGCTTGTGGATTGATGAATGAAAATAGTGTGAAAGCATGGGGGCAGTGGAGAAGAAGCTTGAGGAAATGGAGATAGAATACGTGCGTGCAATGGTAGAGGAAGGTGGGATTAAAGTGGATCAGTTGTTTTTTCATGACCCAGATGGGTTCATGATTGAGATATGCAATTGTGATAGCCTTCCCGTTATCCCCTTAGCAGGTGACATGGTCAGATCATGCTCTCGAGTGAACCTTCAGATGCTTCAACAGAGACAGATTCACCAAATTGTGAAGCAAGAGTCAACTTTTCCTTCGGGTCACACCAAAATTCAAAATACTATTGTTTAACTTACATGTATATATATATATATATAGATATAGATATATAGATATTGCTGGAGGATCCATCATCAACTCCTCCTTCTTGTTTATGCTGTTACTGTACTTAATTCTCACCCTGTCAATTTTGTTCTCTCTAGATTACTTAATTTTAAGTAATAAAATGTATGATCATACTTATTGTATAATTGGTTTTTCAATGTGAATATTGCTTTGTTTACATTTATTGCACCATTTACCATCTAAGCATTCGATTCTTGAATGTATCTGACATTTGTGGATGCATGTGACACACTATCGATGTGATTATTAGGTGAAAATAGGGAAGAATTTTACCGAAGAATAATAAAATTGAGAATTCATAATTTAAAATGATTTTGAACATGTATAGATATATCAAGTCATTAATTGATGAAGAATCATTTCTTAAAGAGTTTACAAGCTAAAGGTTTCGAATATAAAAGTCAACATATTCTCTTCCAATTATGGAAATCAATATTCAATAGGGACAAATTAATTAATGGAGGTAGGTTTTTAGGAGTTATGCAATTTTTTTATTTTGTAATTCGAAAAACTGTATAAAACTTTAAATTCATCTATAAGTCTGACTTATGTGTCGAAAGATTTGTTGTTTAAAATCTAAATTCATGTACTCATATTTTTTAGTTTATCATTATTTATCGAATTATTTTCCAATTTCCTTTAAATTTTTAAAATTCTTTTAATTAAAGCTTGAAATTAAAGATAGGCAAATTTATTGTTAGATTGTTAATTTATAAATAATATTAACATTTCTTTTTTCAAAACATAAACAATATTTTTTAGCTTTGACCCTAATCATTTTGTCATGCACGCAAGTATATAAAGATAAAGATAATATTTATTTAGTAAGCAACTAGGGAAAAGAGACAAACAATTAGTTAAACCTTGTTATACATGTTGAATATATTAATTGAATAAGTAATTCATGTATTTTGAAAAAAAAATTCACTCAATCATTAACTTTATTAATAAATTAAATGGTAAATTTTATTAATTTTTATTATAATTATTTAGGTCTATATTTCACTCGACAAAAGAGTTTCTGATAATTTTATAAAAATATATTCTCTTATATATTTATATTTAAATTAATTTTTCAATAATTTAAAAAATATCATTAATTTTAAATAATTTCATATGGCAAACTTAATTATTTAGTACAAACTTGACATATATATTGTATATTCAACTATACTTCTTTATTATAAATTACAATTATCAATTATTTATATATTTATTATAAATCTTAATTATATGAATGCTTATATACTTTTCCTATCAACTTGTTACTCAAACAAACGATTTCATGTAAGGTGACTTTTTGATAAATGTAAAATCAATAAACTAAATTATAATTTTGATAGAAATTTTAAGGTGTATTTCTTGATATATAAAATATATTTTTCTTTCTATCTTTATTTTTTAATGTATTTCTGTATTATATATATATATATATATATATATATTAAAATATGAAATATTAATCATATTCTAATTATAATTACTTAAATCAAAATAATAATTTAATATTTTTTATTTTAAAAAATAATAAAAATTTATTAATATATAATTTATACAAAAAATAATAAAACAATTTTTCACATATTTTTCTTATTTAATACAAAGAATAAATCTTAAATTTTGATTAAAAAACTTGAATAGAAACCCAATTATGATAAAAAATTTGTATAACAAATTAATAATATAAATTAATAATGTAGAAGATAGGGTTCTAGATGATAAAATGTGTGAGAAGCTGAGTCAGATAAATAATTGAACTGATATGCTGACTCAGTGCCAGCAACCAAACACAAAAGCTGAATCAGATATACTAAGTTTGTTTCGTCACCAATTATTTATGGCAAAAAATATGAAAAGTTCCAAATTATTTATTCACCTCATGCTGAATTTATTGCTACCAGCTGTTGCAGCTGATCTCATCTCTTTCTCCATTTTTTCTTTATCTTCAAAATGAAGAGATCTTTCTTATTATCATTCAAGTTTCAATTGCTTCATTCCTCCTCATAGTAACATTCTGTAGCATCAGCACATATTTCTTGTGCATGTTAGTGAAAGGTTGTGGCTTGCATATCTTAGTATTGTTGAGAGATTGAGCAACATATGAAAAAAAAAAAGCTCATGATATAACATCTTAATGTTTTAAATTGAAAATAATGACTGTACTCATAACTCATATTTTTTTTCATCAAAAGTACTAAGTGTTGGATAATCTAAATGTGAGTTAAATCTTATATGGACTAAAAATAAGATAATTGAGTAACATTTATGACTCATAAAATAATCTATTAAGATTTTGGATTGAAAATAATATAAATTTTTACTCAAGTGTTATTGGTATTATTCTTCTTAATAAATTTTCTTCCAAAGACCTGACTAATATCAAAACCGAATATTGATCCACAGTGATCTTTGTACATCAGTGCAAGCAAATTTATTTAATTGCTTCATCGGTGGTTGAAAGAAGTTCTTTGTATATGAAAAAGGATTTATTCTTCAATCTGACAACCGAACTCTGCATTTTGGTACAGGAAACTACATTCTTGCAGCATATTTTGGGCTTCTGTAGAATTGGGTACAACCTTTGAATTTTTCTAGAAATAATAGAAGCCAAGTCCTCCCTCGGTTGTTTGAAATGAATTTTGAAAGAAAAATCATGGACTAAGTGGCTGTTAGTTATTTTACGTGTTAATAAAGCTCCTAAAATATAGGGCTGAACAAGTCTTTAATTTGTTGCAATATTTACTCCTAGTTTAATGGCACTTAGTGTGCAGTTGCAGTTAGTTTATTTTATCAGAGTCTGTAAGACTTATTTAAGCCATTCTTTGCATTGAATAAAAGATATGAGTGCACAAATATTCTTCTGTAAGTTTACGCATACTTGCAGAATTAACAATTGGTATCAGAGCTCCGTAAGGGGTTTGATCCAAAGTGAACTACGTGTGCACAGAGAGGAATTATCCAGATTTGTGTGAAGAACAATCTGGTACAGAGTGTGGGTCATATTAGTGAGACGTGTGAAAGTAAGAATGTCCACACCAGAGAAGTTTGTTCAACCGGCCATTCCAAGGTTCGATGGCCACTATGATTTTTGGTCTATGACCATGGAAAACTTTCTGCGCAGTAAAGAACTGTGGCAGTTAGTAGAAGAAGGTGTACCAAAACTCGGAGCCACGCCCACTGAGGCACAGAGGAAGAATGCTACCGAGGCAAATCTGAAGGATTTGAAAGTAAAGAACTACTTGTTTCAGGCCATTGATAGAGAAGTTCTTGAAACAATACTAGACAAAAGCACATCACAAGCGATATGGACGTCCATGCAGCAGAAATACCAAGGATCAACACGAGTTAAACGGGCTCAACTACAAGCTCTACGACGGGAGTTCGAACTACTGATCATGAAAGACGGTGAGAAAATTGATAGCTACTTGGGACGCACTCTCACTGTAGTTAACAAAATGAAGATAAATGGTGAAATTTTGAATTCAAGCACAGTGGTCAGCAAAATACTCCGTTCCTTAACTCCAAATTTCAACTACGTGGTGTGCTCCATTGAAGAGGCCAACGACCTGAGCACCCTAAGTCTAGATGAACTTCATGGAAGTCTGCTTGTTCATGAGCAAAGAATGGAGACTTTTCAACCTGATGAACAAGTGTTGAAAGTCACTCATAATGATCGTTCAGGAGCTAGTTCGGGTCGCGGCAGAGGAAATCGTGGACGGGGAAGAGGACGTGGAAGACAACCCTTCAACAAGGCGCTTGTTGAATGCTTCCATTGTCATAAACTAGGACATTTTCAGTATGAATGTCCTGAAACAGGGAGGCAAGCTCATTATACAGCATGCGAAGATGCAACAGATGCGGAAGATGAGATTCTATTGGTGGCATATGAAGAGATGACACAATCTCTTCAAAGAGAAGATTGGTTTCTAGATTCTGGATGCAGTAATCATATGACTGGTAATAAGCAGTGGTTCTCAGAAATTCATGAAGAGGGGCTCAATAAGAGTGTAAAACTCGGAAACGATACAACATTGAATGTTGCTGCCAGAGGAAGTATTCGAGTTCAAATTAATGATATTACGCATGTTATATCCAATGTTTACTATGTTCCAAAGCTTAAGACCAACCTCTTAAGTTTGGGACAACTCCAAGAGAAAGGCTTGGCTATCTTAATTCAGAATGATACATGCAAGATATTTCATCCAGAGAGAGGATTGATTATTCACACAAACATGAAAGGAAATAGGATGTTCTATGTGACAGTATCGATGACTTCTCAGAAATCCCAGTGCTTCCAGGCTGAAGATAATTCAAATGAGACAGCATTGTTGTGGCATAAGCGGTTCGGGCACCTCAACTTTAAAGGACTCAACACACTTGCGAATAAACAAATGGTAATTGGTCTACCTCTTCTGAAAATTCAGCGGCCTACACTCCTCAACAAAATGGAGTTGCAGAGCGTAAGAATCGTACCATTATGAATGCAGTCAGAGCAGTACTTCATGACAAGCAAATTCCAAAATCCTTCTGGCCTGAGGTAGTACGATGGTGTGTTCATGTCCAAAACCGAAGCCCAACCTCTGCCTTAGATCAAGGGACTCCAGAAGAAGTGTGGAGTGGAGTAAAGCCGTGTGTTGATTATTTTCGTACATTTGGATGTGTTGCACATGTCCACGTTCCAGATCAAAGGCACAACAAACTAGATGCAAAGAGCCAACAATGTGTTCTCTTAGGTGTGAGTGATGAGACAAAAGCTTACAAGCTTTATGACCCTATTACACAGAAGGTCATTGTAAGTCGAGATGTGGTGTTTGAAGAAAATAAAGCCTGGAATTGGAATGCACAGACAAATGGAGGTACATCTCTTGTTCTTGATTTAGGAGACAAAGAAGAAATCAAAACTGCAGAATCTGCATCTCAACAAACAGAAGTAAGTCATGATCGATCAGAAACACTTGAGCCCACTGTAGATTCAACACCCACAACACCCACTGATTCTCCTGTTGAAGGGAGGGTAACCAGGACTCGGAGACAACCATCATGGATGACTGACTACGAGACCAACCTATCCCTTGAAGAGAACAGCTTGTTGGCAATGATGATAACTGATTCTGTAGATCCTCAATCCTTTAAAGAAGCTTACATGAGTCAGAACTGGAGGGAAGCAATGGACACTGAGATGAAATCAATTGAAAAAAACAACACATGGGAGCTTGTAGAACTTCCAAATGGTATTAAACCCATTGGCGTAAAATGGGTCTTCAAAACCAAACTCAATGAACATGGCCAGATTGAGAAACATAAAGCCAGGTTAGTAGCCAAGGGTTATGCCCAGCAGTATGGAATCAATTATACTGAAGTATTTGCACCTGTTGCTAGACTTGACACAGTAAGAGTAATATTAGCAGTGGCAGCTCAATATTCATGGGAAGTATTCCAGCTCGATGTTAAAAGCGCATTCTTACATGGTGAACTTCAGGAGGAAGTATATGTTCAACAACCTGATGGTTTTATCACGAAGGGTAAAGAAAATCACGTATACAAACTCAAGAAAGCTCTATATGGACTCGCATGTGCTCCACGAACCTGGTATAGCAAAATAGAAGCCTATTTTGCCAAAGAAAAATTCATACTGGTGCTCTAGTGAACACACCTTGTTCACAAAAAAGGTTCGTGATAAATTTTTAATTGTTAGCCTCTATGTTGATGATCCGATTTTTACTCGGAAATTGCAAGAGTATATGTGAAGAGTTCAAGAGCTCCATGCAGTTAGAATTTGACATGATTGATCTGGGTAAAATGAGACATTTTCTTGGAATAGAAGTGATACAAAATGAAGCAGGAATTTTCATCTGTCAAAGACAGTATGCACGTGAGATATTAGTCCGATTTAACATGCTAGAAAGTAATTCTGTTCGAAATCCTATGGTACCTGGAACTATACTGTCTAAGGATGATGAAGGGGCACCAGTAGATGCCACAAAGTTTAAACAAGTTGTTGGGAGTCTCATGTATTTGACAGTCACACGACCAGATTTAATGTTTGGTGTAAGTTTAATCAGCAGGTACATGGCCAATCCAAAGGAATCACATTGGGCTGCAACAAAACGAATTCTCAGGTACTTAAAAGGCACCATAGATCACGGTCTTTTCTATCAAAAAGGAAAAGAAATAGATTTTACAGCCTATAGTGATAGCAATTATGCAGGAGACTTGGATGATAGAAGAAGCACATCCGGATCGATATTTATGATGGGAACTGCAGCTGTATCATGGGCTTCAAAAAAACAGCCTGTAGTTAGCTTATCTACTACAGAAGCCGAATACATTGCTGCAGCATCTTGTGCATGTCAATGCATTTGGCTTAGAAGAGTTCTTGAGCATCTTGGATTAGAAGAAAAAGAAGCCACAAAAATTCTATGTGACAACAATTCTACAATTCAATTATCCAAAAACCCTGTTTTCCATGGAAGAAGTAAACATATTGCGGTAAGATTTCACTTTCTGCGAGATTTGGTGAATGACCAAGTAGTTCAACTCATTTACTGCAATACAAATGAACAAGTGGCTGACGTGATGACTAAGGCTGTGAAGCTCGACCAATTTGAAAAGTTCAAACGCATGCTTGGTGTGGTTAAGATAACTGAAATAAGCTAAAAGCTTAAGGGAGGGTATGTTAGTTATTTTACGTGTTAATAAAGCTCCTAAAATATAGGGCTGAACAAGTCTTTAATTTGTTGCAATATTTACTCCTAGTTTAATGGCACTTAGTGTGCAGTTGCAGTTAGTTTATTTTATCAGAGTCTGTAAGGCTTATTTAAGCCATTCTTTGCATTGAATAAAAGATATGAGTGCACAAATATTCTTCTGTAAGTTTACGCATACTTGCAGAATTAACAATTATCCTCCTTGGAGATTGAGAGTTCTAATGACTATATAATCAATCCGAATTATGCAGATTATATTCTCCAAATACTAATTTTTCTCTAAGTTATGAAGGATATCCCTCAAAAATTACTCCAACCAACAATAATGCATCACTCCACATACAGGCAAATTTACAGAATATGCTCGCAGAAATCCAAAATTTCTATACCTGGTTTTCACATGGTTGTTGCGAATCACAGTAGAATTGATCTATTATTTTTGGGTTAGACACACTTTCCATGGAGATATTCTGGACTGTGATCTTGGAGACAAAACCACCACCATCCCAACGAAAATTTGGGTGGCATAAAAAGTGGAAGCTAAATAAACTGCAGATAAAATTTGTATTTTTGTATATAAAAAAACCTTGTAGACTCAATCTATATGCTTAATTTTATGTCCTGAGAAGTGTTCCAATTCCGCACTTAAGAAACCAAATTATCATGGAGACTTTGCTTGAGAAATCCTTTCTAATACCATTAAAAAGGAAGCATGAACATGGAAAGGAATATGCACAAAAAAAGCAAAGTATAAAAGCAATATATATTTTAACTTTTACACCAATTTCCAGATGAAGAATACATTGGAAAGTACTGAGAATTCATTCGTGCAATTCGGCAGGGGACTTATACAAATCTGCTCCTTATTATTTCTCTGTAAACCATGCAAGGTTCTCCAATAAGAAACAACAAATGAAGACACAGAGAGTGGTGTATATACTGATATCATAGCTTATACAATACTCATTCATGTACTGCCATATATATGAAATTAAGGATATGATTAGAGACCCCTCTTAAGCATTTGCTCGTAATTCTCTATGGATTGGAGCCTCTGGATGAGGAGTTGCTTCCTGAAGTTCTTGATGAAGGCATCAGCACTAGCATTGATGTCTTCAATGGGGTTCTTTGTCTTCTCAGTCCCCTCTGCGACCTTCTTTGCTCCATCTGAATAATTATTTCTCTTCTCTGATCTCCACTTGCTGCAATCTCCCTCTTCAGATGAACCTTGCAACTGGCTCTTTCTAATTCTTGCATCCATCTCTAAATTGTCTAAGAAATGAAAGAAACTTGGTAATTGAGACTTTGTATTGTGTTGTTGTTTCACAATGAATGGTGCTTCACGAGCAGCCTCATATATATAGATAAATTAAATAAATACAAGGGTTTAACCTTCAAACCAAAGTTAAAAGGGTTTAGGAAGCAAAAAAGGTGCGTAGGAGGGAGCATATGTAGCTGGTTTGACATGCTAAGCGTGGTAAACGCACCATCCCAAGGGGATATGCCATGTGCAACGCACCGTTTCACTTCATCTTGCGGCTTAAGTCACGCTACCGTGTCCCTACTCGTCTTAATCGCTCACAAATTTTATTCTTAAAATATTAAATAATTTTAAAAAATATTTATAAATTATTATTCATCTCAATTCTTAAACATTTATTATTTCTAATTAGAAAAACTTTTTGAGAAATGATGGGTTATTATAAAATCCATCTTGAGTTGTTAGTAAGTGGGTTGTTATAAGTAACTTACCATTTAACTACCACTTTTGATTGTAATGAGATCTTCTATAAGTATTTCTTTCTTGATTTGTTGAATTTTTCTTGGTGAAAATTGCAAAAACAAATTGAAAAAAATTAAAAAAAATAACTCTTAGAAACGTTGTTTAATTTTTCAAAATTTTTCATGACTCATCAAATTACTTAAAAAACAGTTTGTTATAAACACGGTTGCTAAGTAACTGGATCATAAACCATTAGAAAACACAATTTTTTTTATGAAAGATTATATATATTAATATTCCACGATACTATCAAAAATCTCACGTAATTTAGAATTAAAATTAAAAATAATTTATATATAATTTTTTCTACATAAATTTTAAGGATAAAATTGTGAATTATTAGAAGATAAATATAAATAATATTTGGTGCATAAAAATTCACCTCTAATTATATAAAATCAACGTGGACTGATATTAGAATCTAATTTCACTGGTATCCATATTATTATAATTATAATTAAATCTTCAATCACAAATCAAAACCCTAAACACAAAATAAATATAATATTTAAAGAATAATTGTGATTGTAATTTCTTAAATTGTTTTAGATGAACGACGGGAAACATAAAAATTGAGCGAGCATCTATACCGACCATAAATAATAGATTGGATCGATGCAATGAATGGAAATTAAATATGAAGATGGGGCATGTGATGCCCATCCGTGGCATTGATTAAGAGGCATGGGGAGTTTCTATTCTTATTTATTCATTTCTTCACTATTTATGCCAAATGGGTCCACTCTAGATAAAGTCCTTCGCAACACATAAACGTGCTTATATAAAAGCACTTTTATGAAAAATCCAACGTCATTCTCTCTATATGCCACTAATTTGGATATTATCTATCATAGCAGGAGTTTTTAAAAGAGAAATTCCGAGGAGACACGAAGCAAAGTTTTATAGACACTAACATGAGATGAATGTGATTCACAACAATGCTAAAGTACGTAGATATGTACTATTTGTTTATTATTTTATGTGTCTAATTTAATAATAATTATCTTTTGTACGGATTAATAACTTAATTTAAAACCACTTAGATTCTATCCATATTAATTTATTTTAGATCACCATACTCAAATGGAAAATTAAATATGTGTTAATTTTAGACATGTATATTGAGATATAATTTTTCATAAATCTCATATTTGATTTTTTTTATTTAAAAATATCAACTTTTTCTATTAAAAAAATGAGAGACTACACGTTTATTCTCAACAATTTGGTAGTTATGATAATTCATTTTCATTTCTGAGTTACAAACTATACATTGAGTCGTTTAATTCTAAATTAAAAAAAAATCTTCATCTCTATTTTTTTTTTCTTCGTTTTTCATTGGTGTACGGCAAGAAATGGTGTTTTCAAAAGTCAAATAAATTAATGATTCTGTAGAATTAAGAATTGAAAAACATCAAGTGCAGGAACTATTGTGTTACGAAAAGGAGATGCTGAGGTGACACAAAGCATTATTATGTATAAATATTATAGACGTAAGATGAGATGAATGCGATGTAGAATAAAAGTGTTGTGGTATTCATAAAAAAAGAAAATAAAAATTATTTACTATCTTTTAACGTCATCATCACTATTTGTTTATGCATGCAAAAAATTATTCAGTGAAGTAATAGAGATTATTTTAAATATATTTTAAAATAATTAATATTTTTATTGGACATAATAACATCCACTTAATTGATAATATATATATATATATATATATATATATATATATACATAATTAAATTAGTAAATATTTCTAAAAATCAATTGAAGAATTATTTTCATTAATTGGTGAGAATGGTTGGATTCTTAGTTGAATTGTAACTGTAGCCTGTTACCAATCGAAGCCCAAAATTGAAGCCCATTGGGTGTACTTCCTTTGAAAACAAGAGAATCCTTTCAATTATTACTCTGTCAGAGTAAAAGAAAAAACGAAGAATAAAAATATAGAAATGACATTAGTAATAAAACATATAAATTCTGAATAGATAAAAAGAATAATAGAAAATAATCAATCACTTATTTGTATAATTTTTTTTAATACTGTGATCTAATTATAATTATACACATGTGTGTATGACAAGTTTAGAGTCTTCTATAATATCCAAAAACACTTGTTTGTTTATTATTGTTAAAAATATTTTTTAGCTTTTAAAAATCTAAAAAACTTGTTTAATAATTATTTTATAGAAAAAATTTCATTTAAGAAAAAAAAACAAAAACAAAAACGAAAATTGTTTGAAAAATCGAGTTGTAGAATTAAAATGTGAAGTGATCACCATATCTACCTTCCCCTAAAACGATTGAGTACAAACTAATTACTGAGGAATTAATTTGTTCTATGCAGAGTAGCTTTAATTCAAACGGAATGAATAGCAGGATTTGAATCTACCAAGACATTTTGTCTAATAAAATCATCAGTGAATGAGAAACATGGAGGAGGATACAAGAAACCCCGAGCAGAACCGTGAGCTTGCCAGCAGAAAGAGCTAGTATTTCCTCCGAAGCATGATACAAGAAATATATTTTCAAGATATAATCCTTCACATGGAGAAGCATCACTGCAAGCAAATTTTATTGCTTCATCGCTGGCTGAAGTTCCTTGGATATCAATGAAAGATATATTCTCCACTCTGACAGCCGAAGTCTGCATTTTGATACAGGAAATTAGATTCTTGCAGCATCTTTGAGATTCTTGCAGTAGATTCTCCCTCGGTTGTTTGAAATTAAATTTGCAAGACAAGTCAAGGACTAAATGTATTATTCTATTCTCCTTCGAGATTCAGAGGTTTAATTATGCAAATTATGTTCTCCAAATAATAACTTTTCTCTGAGTTATGAAGGTTGTTTATCAAAATTTACCCCAACCAACAATGATGCATCACTCCACGTACAGGCAAATTTACGGAATGTGCTTGCAAAAACATCCAAAAATTCTATACCTGGTTTTCACATGGATTTCGCGAATCACAGTAGAATTGATCTATTATTATTGGATTAGAAACATTTTCCATCCAGATATTCTGGAATGTGATCTTGGAGGCCAAACCACTACCGCCCTAAAGAAAATTTGAGAGAAGTCAATATATGTGTACATAGATGGGTGAAATATAAAAAAAAGTGCCACAGTTGTCAATAAACTACCTGCCAAGTTTTGATCCTCAACCCATTATCTGTGTTGTAAAGATAAGCTCCATCGACAATAACATTTTGCACCGTCTCCCATTTGTTTTCTTTTCCCAAGCTACCGATGCTGAAAAATAGGTTCCAGGATCAATCAACATTGATAACACTTAATGTTTTGAAAATTGAGAAGTGAAAGTTACTTTTACCTTATGCCATGGCCAGGACCACAAGAGATGTTTCTGATCCAGACCCGTGAAGAATTTCTGACTATTGAAATGCAGTCATCACCTGAAATAGAAAATAATGGACTGAACTATTTTTCTTTTGGAGTATGATTTGTTCACCAAAGTTTATTCTGGACAAACTATTTAATATTGCAATTGCTATTTGGAGGTAAATAACATACTTAAATTACTGTTGAAACCATAGTATCAGTCAAGGCTAGTATGGCACTCGGTTGAAAATAACGGTAAAGGAGTACCTGTTCTAATTACACTATTCCTGACCTCAACTCCCTTTGTTGCACTAATGTGGATTCCATCAGTATTTGGGCTGGAAGCAGGTGCTAATACTTTGAGATGGGATGCAACAACCCGCATACAGTTAGTGAATGACAAGTGCATTTTTTGGCTATTTATCAGCATGAGATTTCTGACTTTTAGATTCTTGCATCTATGAAAAGTCAGGGCCTGCAGTGTAAATGTTGTTTCATATTCAGCTAATAAGAGACATAGCACATATCAGATGGGGGAAACAATCTGGGTTGCTCCATATTTGAAATGCCACTAACCGTTGGAGCAGGATGACACGGCTGCGAAAGGACATTTTGAAGTCACTTTAGTTACACAGTTGATTAAGCTTCAAGGAAATATTAATTTAAGCTTTTCAGGAAGCAATACATTTGTGGAGTTGATCTTGCAAGATCTGGCCCACCATTCCTGTCCCATTCCATCGATAGTCCCTCCACCTTCAACAGTGAGGTGATTCACCCCATGGAAGTAAAGCCATTTGCGTTGATTTAAACCAAGCCACACCACAGGATCTTGCGGTGCAACTATTGTACCTGATATCTATAATAAACTTAAAAACAATCTAGTGAATATTTTCTATAGATTATACTTCATTCAGGAATTGAAAGGAGCAGATGACAAAAGTTTACTTCAACATGTGGGAGAGTTGACTCTGGGAGCATACCGTCAAAGTAATCTTAGATCGACAATGCCCACCAATGTCAACAGGATGGACCAGAAAAGTTTTCCCAAATGGAAAAACCACATTTATAAATCCAGCGAGAGAACAAGCGATCCCCCAAGCCTCCAAAAAGGCCTGAGAAGATAAATAAACAAAGTCATGATTGCTGTTACAGTGCTTGCAGTTGTAGGTGGAGATTCCTAATCCTGCCTAGCCCTTTCAGACATATTATCAAATATTTTGTGGTCTATTCTGAAATGTAAGAAAACCGGGCTGCATTGTTCATTAGGCCTAAGCATTTTGCAAGACTTGAATCTAAATACTTTACTCCATTTCCAAGCAGAAGAATCATCCAAATTACCCTCCTCCCTGATTGACACTCTAAATAAACATATTTTCCTGTGGATTATTAATCAAATCGGTTCACCAAATGTAACATATTTTCACAACTGTCAGTCAATGAGGTTGCCTATTCTCCATCATAAAGAAATATTAAAAGAAAAAAAAAAAAAAAAACTTGAACCAACATCATCAAATAATTTGAAACCCTTAAAAAGTTTGAGGTACTGAAATAACAAATTCATCATTCCAATTGTGAGGAACAAAGAACAAGACTAACAAGTGTAAATAAAAAAAGAGACTAATTACCTCGGTATCATTGTGAAGGCCATCCCCTTTTGCACCATAATCACCGACATAAAGAACCCATTTAGATCTAGTTCGGGTTCTTCTCAACCTGGAACGTGGGCGCTGGATGACAGAATCAAATCCTTCTGCATGAGTGAGATATGGAGTGACAAGTACATTTACGTAAATGAAGATAATGATAAATGCCCAAGTGAAACAATATCTGAGGTTTTTCATTTTCTGTCAGATTCGGACCATAAAAGGTTTGGTGAGAGAATCCTATAAATCGTAGCTGGTTTAGTGGGCACAGCTAGTTAAAGAGCGACATGTAACAGAAACACCACCTACCACCCTATAAAGAACCAGATAACCGCATAACCACATTGCACACAACGACAATGTCAGTGACAAAGTTTATATTCATTAAAACCGAACCTAATTATTTTTTACATGCATTTTATAAATCTAAGCTGAATCTGGATATGATAAATATATATATATATATATATATATATGTAATTGATTTTTTTGTAAAAACAAAATGTTATATTGATGGTGCAAAATTGAATTATTTTAGCATAGAATTTCTGTAATGCTTGCAGGACACGAAAATTCCCTCTACAGGGTTGTCTTGTACCCTGTTCTTTCCTCGCTTGGATAACTGCATCCAAACGACCAAGTTATCGAAATCCTAAAGAATTTCGTGTTATGTCTTTATTCACTCATCCTTGGTTTTTTCTTGTTTGGGTCAGGATTGATGTCTGGTCTAAATTAGTAAATTATTTTGCATGCAATAATCAATGTGAAAAAAAAAAGAGAGAATAACTTAGAAATTAGAAAAGTTTAATGTTTTCTAGTAAAGATCATAAAACTTGGACTGAATTATAAAGCCTTGCCCAGATATTAAGTTCATCATTTGCCAACACGACACTGATTTGCTTATTTCGTCTAATCATGTATTATTAATTTTAAAAAATATTATATCATCATTATTTATATAATGAATTTGGTCTTGTTTTTTAAAAATTGAATTAATATTATTTCTTAACTCAATATTATTAAGTTGCTTAAATGAAAAAAAAATGAGATATTAATGTATTATATATGTTAATTGTTATTCATCATGATTAAACATGAGTAGAGTGTCAAAAAAATATAATCTTATGGATAGATCTATAAACTCTACAAATATTCGTTTAGGTTAAGTAAAAAAAATATATAAATTGAACAAAGTTGATTTTAATCTATTTATTATTTAGGGTGTGATTTAAATGATTTTAGACTGGATTATCATGTAATTTTGAGTATTAGCCCATTTTATAAAATATAATTATCTTTTAATAAAAATAATTTATTTTATTATTATATTTAAATTAAAATATTTTATTAATGTAATTAAACTTTTAAAATATGTTTTCATTTTATTTATTTTTTTATATAAACAAAATGTAATTTTCTTTTTAATTTTCAAGTTCGTCAACGACTATAATAATAATAATACGTCAAATAGCAACTCATTGATCCACTAACCTAACGGAGAGTGAGGTAAAAAAATAATTTAGAATCTGTTCTAAAAGTTATAACCAATGACAACTATTTAATTTATTTTTCATAAGTTAGGTTAGATTCGACCACAATCTTAAAAACATATATACTTCAATATTCTTTAAGCAAATAAATAGTTTAATTCGTTTTTAAGAAAAAATTAACATTTTAAATAAATAGACAATTTTTTTTTAAAATAGTTTATTATGTTTACTGTTTAGAACTTATGTTTCATTAACGATTTTTTTTATATATATATTTAGATAAAGGAAAGTCAGGTGAGGTTTTAGGTTTTCAAATTCTAAGTCTTTGTTTAGTTTTACAAATTTACTGTTAATAAGGAAATGAGGGTAAAGATTTGTGTTGATTGATCTATTTATAATTTAAACTGATATGTGAAGAAATAATAAGGGGACTCGTCTAAAATATATATAACTTTTTAATTTGTAGAAAAATGTAAAGATAAGAGACAAAGAAAAAATCATTTATATCCTTATAAATTGATTATGTGAGGTAGATAATAAATTACATGATATACTAATTTAATAATTTTTATTTTCTGAAACAATATTAACTATAATTTTTTAAATAAATTATGTTTATTTTTCAGTTAATATTATGTTAAGATAATAAATAAGATTAATAATTTATTTATACTATATTTTTTAAAATAATTTTTATACTTTTATTTTTTAAATTATATTTTTTATAAAATAAATAGTATATTATAATTATATTATAAAATAATTTATATAATTAAATATTTTAAATAACAATATTTATAATAATAAATATAAAAATAATAATAATATATATTTTATGTATATATATAATTATGTGTCAATCAATTATTTTTTATTATAATTAAATTACATCAAAATTATAATTTTTTTAAAATCACCTAATCGAATGTGTATAAACGATTATAAAATATAAATAATTGATTATATACAAATAAATAATCGATTACATAAAAAAATATATATATATATATATATATATATATATGAAAAAGTTAATGTTAATAATATATATTTATAGCTATATGTCATTTTATAAATTTTTTATAATAAAATTAAAATTGTATTTAAATATAAATATATTTTTATATAATGTTATTAATTTTATTTTTTATTATAAATCTTTTTATTATATTTAAATTTTTTAATTAGTACTTAAAATAATTTTTTATACATAATTTTTAATTAGTAATTTAAAATGTATTTTAAATAATTTAAAAATTAATTACTTTAAAATTAATTATGTTTATAAAATAATTTATATTTATTTTGATTAAATTTTAAATAAGAATATTTTAATAATTTAATAAATTTTTTTATTATTTCAAATCAATCAAATTAATTATAAATTTTCTCTTATTTTCTTCTACTTTTCATTCTTTTTCCAATAAAAATTATTTTAAATATTAATTTTTTTAATATTTTATATAAAAATTATTATATCTCAAAATTTTATATATAATATAAAATAATTATTTTATATTAAATTATATTATATTTTAATTTATACTTATTTTATCTCTTATCAATACAAAAACATTCAGATCATTATTTATTTTATATTATTATTTAAATTTTTTATTTAATCATGTTAATCTTATTTTCTATCATCTTTCTACTAATTTCTCTTTATTTTATTTTATTTTCTTTAATTTAAACAATCTCATTTTTTACTATTTTTTTCTTTTCCACTGCCTCATATCTACTTTTGAATCCAAAGCAGAAGTTGGAATGATTCACCATTATAAAATTTGGGATTCATATCATATTGAAAAATAAATATATCAATAAAAATAAATAAATAATAATATAAAAATAGATTGTTAAATGGTTGTTTTTATTTTTTTTTTCCAGTTTCAAAATATCAAGATTCATATCATATCTCAGCAAGTGTTATTTGCTTTGTTCGGTACATACAGCAAGAGACACCCAAAACTAATAAATACATAATAAATGAATGTCTAGGCCGAACAAAATATAGGATAGAAAAAAATAACTTACGTAGATTTTTTAGATTATATGAATATTAATACTGAAATTTTCTGTTGTAAAAAAAAAGAAAAAATTTAATAATAAATATCAAAATAAATTATTTGAATATTTCTATCTATTTATTTGATGAGCCATGTGGGTGTTATATTCAATATTTTTATATTGGAATTAGAAAATTGATAGTTACTCTCTTAAAACTTAACATCCAGAATAACCAAAACTACACGTTACCTTAACATCATTCTTAAATAACATCCCATTTTATAATTCACAGAAAATTTATGATATTAAAAACTCAATTCCTCTATTTACAACATAAGGATAGGTAGCATTAATTTACAGGAATTCGTATGTCTATTGCTTAAGTTATATGATATAAAAAAATATTTTAGATTAATATCAACACAAAAGTTCTTCGTACGATTACTCAATTACACATCATAACCTCACCAGAAAAAATAGACCAGGAATAAAATTGGTTAAAAGTTGAAGTGTTGAAATGAGTTATCAATTCATGATTAACAGTAATATATATATATGTTTCTTGTATACATTTTTCATTGTGGAAAATATAAATACAAAATGTAGAAAATAAATAATATTGTAATCACAAATGAGAAAATGACATTACACATCAAAATTCAGTTGCTACAAGATTAAAAACTATGTATATTGGTGTTTATAAGGTCCCTCAAATTAAAAATAGGTCAACGAGAACAAAAACATTATAGTGGGTTTTGCAATTTGCTCCCATATGAAGCTAGCATAATCATGTAAAATATTTCCATGTTTTATATTTACTTATTGTAAAGATAAACCCCTTTTTCCCACAACTATTTCACACAATCACAAGCCAATTTGAATGCTACAAAAAGCCATAATAAATTTGCAGAGAGATGAATTAATAAAGAAGTAATGACTCATGATTATGTTCTTAATTTAACATGAATTCAACTCAATCGGCCCTACCCTACACACCTAAAAGTAAAACATCGCATCATAAAACTAAAAGAGTAGAAACCTGGCCGGAATATTCTCTCTCCATCACCTGAAACCACCGTCGTCTACCTCGGTCGATGCTTGGCGGGTACAGTCCGTGGTGGCTTGTTGTGGTCCCGTGGTGGTGCTTTTCCAAACGCGGTGCAGAAGCCGCATGCGGAGAGTCTGGGAGACGGAGGCTCGATCGCCGGGGAGACTTTGCCGGTGCGGTAGGCGCGAGGACCGCCGTTGGAGCGGGTTCTGTGGAGTGGCGGCGGCGGCGATTGAAGTTGAAGGTCTTTGATCTCATCGCCGTCGTGGTTGTTGTTTTGGTCTTCACTGTTGAGTTTGTTGAATTCCTCTGTTAAGAACTTGTCGTCCCACACAAAGCCCGAAGAACCCTGCCTCCTGAAGGAGACTGCAGATCTTTGAAGGCCAGCCATGGCAGTTAGTTACCAATTCTGTATTTGGCTCTTTCTTCGCCACTCCAAAGCAAAAAAGCACATGGATTTCTATCGTCGTGTTTTGCATTACCTTTTTCTCTTTGCGCACAATAAATAAGCAAGATAAAGGGGACAGTTAGTGAAGGCGAAGAAAATGGTTAATTTAATACAACTTTTTAATCTATATTTAATATATTAATTAATTAAAGAATCGTTAATTAATGTGTTCGATTTAAAATTTTGAAACATTAAGTGAAGGGCCCCTTGGGACGGCTTTTTCGGGTGCATTGTGAGTCTGTGCGCAACTTAGCACGACACGCGGGGTGTTGTGTTAGGTCCACCAAGTGTTAGTGTGCGCACACTAACTCCACCGCCCTGTCATATCATAATCCATCAATAAATGAAACTAAGAAAACGCATTCACGTCCTTCTCGCCTCACCAAGCCTTTAATAATGCCACTAATTATAACTTTATCATGATAATAAAAAATAACTTCTTTTTTCTAAGACTAGTTTAATTTTGAAAATAAAGAATAATTTTGAAATTTTTAATTAAATATTACTTTCATAGTTTTACAAATAATTTAAAATAAGATTATTATTATTGAATAAAAAAATCGTGTAAACATTTTTCACTCATTATATTAATTTTTTTATTTTTCATTACGTGAAGTTTGCTTAGATCATTTCTATATTTTCTCTTTTATTTTACTTTTTCTGCTCCTCCTTCGTTTTTTTTTTCAACCTCCTTTGACTTTTAGGAGTGTTACCAAAAATTAATGAGAAAGGACTTAAATTTGTTTAATTGTTCTTAATTGACCAATTTTGTAAAGAGGGGTTTGAAAAAAAAAGAAAAGAAAGGTTTTGAAGAAAAACATAGAAGATAGAGTAAACATTCACATGAGATCACATTATATTTCTATATTCTTTCAGTTTCAACCAATTTTTGTTACAATTCTTTATTCATTTTTCTTACAACACATATTCTACTTTAGATAGAAAACAATTTAATAGGAAAACCAAAAAGAGATAACACAAAGAAATAAAAAAAAACACAAATCATTCTTATATACAAATATATATGACATCCCCTTCAAAAGACATTCATCTAATATTTTTTTTATTAATATAATATTCAAATAGTAACAATAACTTAATCAATGATTAAATTTTAAATAAGTACATATAAATACGACATATTAAATAGACATACATGAAAAAATACTCATCTATTAAGATAGAAAATTTATTTAATAATTATTTCTAAAATATTATACAAAGAATGATTATTTTAAATATAATAGATACTTATTTGAGAAAATACTAATAATTATTAATTTATATCTTTATTAAAAGATAAAATAATTTAATATTTTTTTATTAGTTTTAAATAGATTAATCGAGTATATTTGATGATTCCAATTGTCTGAAAAACCTGTTAGTTTGAGTGGGTCCCTTTCGTCCAGAAAAACTATACTTTTCAAATTTTAGGGCTTTGAAGAGCGTTTTCCTGTAAAACCCTTTTTCTTCCGTTTCTCCTTGCACGAAGCTTGAGCGAATTAGTCATGGCGAACGAAGACCTGGGTAGTTGGACTGATCTGCTACATTCTTCTACAAAGCTTCTGGAACAAGCTGCTCCTTCTGCTCAGTTCCCTCCACTTCAGGTTTCTCTCCAAACCAACTCACTTCACTATTTTAATTTTCATCGCTCATTTGTAAATTTCATATCAATGCCGCCGAATCAATTTGGAGGCTGAGTGTGTATTTTGATTGTGAACCAATGATAGGTTCTATTTGTTCAAGATAATGGATAAGCATTGCTTCCTGTCAGTTAGAATTATCAGTAGCCACTGCTTAAGAAAAAATAAATAACTGATGATTAAATGTAGATTTTTGGATCTCTGGTTTTGAATCCATTTTCTTACGTTTTGCAGAGGAACTTAGATCAACTGGAATCATTATCCAAGAAGCTTAAATCCAAGACCGTAAGGACTGAGGCTCCTTCTCAATCTATTGCTGCAACAAGGTACTCTTTGGTTATATTTTATAAATTTTGATTGCTACAAGTTTTTTTATTGTGTCTGAAGTAGCCAGTTGTGTAGATTTAGAATTTAAAAATCCTTAGATTGTATTATGGGTAGTTGGAGTGCTTTGAGTTGTTAGAAAGATTTTTACTCCTTAGCGACCTCCACATGGTGTTGGCTACTTGAATTATAGATTTTCATTCAGTCAAACTCAGTCTTGTATCATGCATTCATGAAGCCAATGGTTAACTAAAATCCTCATAAACAATATCCCATTTTCCAGTTCCCATTAGGTTTCTTTTGGACTTCTTCTATCCCTTTTTTCTAGCGCCATCTATTTAACTTCATTTTTTTCTTCTTAGGACAGGTATTCTCACATCGAGTTTCCATCATTTTCTTAAAAGAAAGAGTGTGTGATAAAATGATAACACAGTTAGTTATTATGATCATTTTCTTGTTTCTTTTGAATGGACAGACTCCTTGCTCGTGAGGGGATAAACGCAGAGCAGCTTGCAAGGGATCTGAAGTCATTTGAACTGAAGGTAAATCTTGTAATATTTTTTACATTGAACATTTTCTCTTTGCTTGACTTAATAAGTATTCTATTTTTGCCTGTTAGGTAGATAGTTTATGCATTCTATTATAGGTTTCATAAATTTCTGTGCAGCCATGTTTAATTCACAATTGTTTTCCACTTTTCCCGATGTTTGTCAGCAAAATTAATTTTCCTTTAAAGATCATGTCAAGTTGTTTTTGCTGTGGTTCTCTCTATTACTTAATTCATGTGACTATTATCTTGCTGATGCCATACCATTTATCTTTTTTCCACTTTGTAGACAACTTTTGAGGATGTTTTTCCTGTTGAAGCAACAAGTGTTGAAGAGTATCTGCAGCAGGTAATTTTCACTCTCAATTTGACTGCTAGTCAAATCAGATTTATTATTACATTTAATTAATAATTAAACATTAAGGTGATTCTATTTGGATGGATCAATTTTATCAGAGTGAGGTAACCATATATTCCATATTTTTTGTTTGCAACTTTTTCACCAAAGTGAGAAATATTTGTTCAAATATAGTCAAATAGAGTGTCGGAACTAAACTTTGTGAGTTCCTTCATTTCATTACATACATCTTGTCAGAGTCAAAGAGCTATCCTTTATTGATGGAAACTATTATTATTTTTCGTCGTCATCATTATTATTATTATTATTATATTGTAATTTTTCATTTCACAGAGGAGCTTGCTATTATGACATGATTGTTATATCTAATGCTGTTTCTATCCACTGCCCTCTTTGTTCTATTACCAATAGTATTCCGTCTAAATTAGGATTTCTGCTGCCTATCATGGAAAACAAAGAAATCTTCTTACTCTGTAGTCTGTGCATCTACTCCTTTTTCTCAATGGAATTGAGACATTATTGTTTACTATGTTTTCTTCTCAGGTTCATGAAATGGCCATGGTCTCTGCTGTTCAGGAAGCTCAGAAGGATAATCTCAGGAGTTTCAATGATTACATGATGAAAGTTTTAGAGGTTAGTGTAATCATGTCTTTTATAATATAATACTTCATTAAGTCTTCAATTATCTTCCTTTAATTTGGGGTTTCGTTTCTCTCTATATTTTACTGTTGATATCTTTAATAATAGGTATTGGCTAGGGTATATTCATAAAACTATCAAAAAATGATATTTTAGCATAGTAGTGGTAAACCATTTATTTTTGCGGTTGATGTTTTCTTATATAATTCTTGCAGTGCTGAAAATATTAAATCTGTCCTATATTGTTATATCTGCCTTTTCTTTTATTTGTTGAGTTGAGTTGTAGCAAATGTCTTTAATAAAAAATGCCTTTAGATTTTTTATGGCATTTAGGACTTGATTATGGATTTACGACAAAGGGACTGAATAGATTTATTGTATTAATAGGATTGTTTATTTTTCCATGTTTTATTTTGGTGTTTTGTTAATGAGTACATATCCGTTTTTGGTGTTGTTAACCTTGGTAATCCATATTTACTCTCTTAAAAGATTAAGATGAATAGAGAACAAAAGAACAAGGGAAAAAAATTATGTCTTACTCATGCAACTTAATTGCTTTTAACAGTCTTAACTTAACAATGACAATGAGGTCTGCTGACCTGCTTAACTTTCACAAAAGCATTCCTTTTAGATAATTGCTCTTCTAATTGAACATGCTTAGGTTAATCCATGGTACTAACTCCACATATGAAATGAAGTAGCATAGTGAAGTGAGTAGATAATTTTATCTCACATTTACAATTTTTCAATTGGGACGAGTATTCTATTCCATTTGTTTAAAGATAGGTTTATTTGTTCTTGAATTTTGTGGCTCAGCTTCCTTACTGTGCATTAGAATTTACTTTTATGACAGGAAGATTGGCAAAAAGAAAAGCGAGATTTCCTTCAGAGTTTAAGTCGAATTTCAACATTACCTAGGACAAACATTGCTGCTAACAACAGTGTGGGTACCCTCCCAGGTCAGATTGCGTCTGTGACTTCTACTCCACAACTCTCGTCCAGTATGTCTAGCATGGAGATTGTTCCTCTGACTGGCAGACCTATTGTGGAGAAAAAGGCAACAGTCTATGCTGAGGTTGTAAAAAATCTGAATAAAGCAAGGGAGTCTGGGTTACCATTCAAAGTATGTCCCCTACTTTTTCCATTTCCTAAATTTATAATGAGATTTCTATATTAGATTAAACTGTGTAATGATGCCTGTTTATAACAAGATTTCTATATTAGATTCAAAGTCATGCCCTTTTGTGATCAACATAATAATTTCAGTGAAAATAATGTTTTGAATGATTGTGATACTATCTTCCCAAACGCTCTTAGCAATCAATAGTCACCTTTTGTGTTTACATGCATGGAACTTTTTATGTTAACTTTCATTAAATTTTATGGTTCTTAGCCTGCAGCAGCATTCAAGGGTGCATATGAAAATTTGGGC